GTTGGTTTAAGAGACAATCTAAAGGCTAAAGGTTTCACTTATTAAAATCAAAAGGAGAGGCCGTGCATAGTGGCTCACGCCTGTAATCCAGCACTTTGGGAGTCCAAGGCAGGTGGATCACGAGGTCAGGAGATGGAAACCATCCTGGCTAAAGTGATGAAACCCCATCTCTACTAAAAACGCAAAAAATTAGCCAGGTGCGGTGGCGGGCACCTGTAGTCTCAGCTGCTTGGGAGGCTGAGGCAGAAGAATGGTGTGAACCTGGGAGGCGAAGCTTGCAGTGAGCCGAGATCACGCCACTGCACTCCAGCCTGGGTGACAGAGCGAGACTCCGTGTCAAAAAAATAAATAAATAAAAATAAAATAAAAAGGAGTGTTAGACATCATTAGGTTCAAACTAATATGAATTCAAGGAGAAAACAAGTTTCCAATCTCCAGACTGCATTTCTAAAGCTGTTCTTACGATACAAGATATCAGCAAGTATCAAAAAAGTATCTGTATGTTTAATTCTCAAGGTACTTTTTTTAACATGAAATTTTACAAGAAATTCTCGATATTTAATACATAGCAAGGCTGCAGCAAGGAAGAAGCCTTGCTCTGAATTAAATATTGAGAATTTGAGTGAATGTAGAAGGGAGTACCTTCCAAGAACCCTCAGAGCTTCATGGAATTGAGTTTGAAGACCCCTGTGAGGAGACTGATTGGTGTGTGGGGAGTGGATGAGAGTCTGAAGCCAGAGAAGTGCAGATTGTCAGTGCTGAACAAACATCAAAGATGGACCTTGCCCTAAAATCCAACATGCATATTTCTTGTAGAGCTGGTCCTTCTTTTCAGTGACTTCTGCTAACTGGAAGTCAGGGGTTTGTAAAAAGACTGTAATAATAAACTGGAAGACTCTCTTAAGTAGCATTGTAAAATGACTATTTCTCATGCCAGTACTAGGAACCCTGAATTTGAAGTAAAGTGAGAATTTCTTGATGATTCTGTCAATTGCGTAAGAATCCCAGGCTAGAGAGAAAGATTTGGGAAGCATTATGTAGGTAGGTGGTAAACTAAAGCCAAGTAATTATCTCCAAACTCATAAAATCTACTATCATTAAAATTCTTAAGCAATGTCAGTGAAACTCCTGCATTTCCTGGAGATGATTCATCTTCTCCAAAATTGTGTGAGCAATCAGAAATAACTGTGACTGTCTACAGGTCATCTTTGCAATAGTAATTTAGAGGGGTTTTTTGTTTGTTTGTTTGTTTGCCATCGTATCCTTTCTTTTAGATTTTTAAATTTCTAAGGTCTAAGGCATACGTTGGCATTTCTTTCAGTTAGAAATTTCTGTTTTTAGAAAATCGAAGAGCCAAATGCTCCTGAGAATTGTTTGACCCACTGAGTTTAAATTAAATCTGCCTGCAATGTAAATTATTATTGGATAAGATGCTTCTACAATTCCAGTGGTTGGAATACACAAACGCTGATTTAGGTCATTTCTGGCAGTTATTGAATAAAAGATTGAAATGAAGAGATTGTTTATCTATCCAGGAGACAAACTGTGTCACAGGGTCAAATCCCAGCACAACCATTTAACCTTATATTTGAATTTGTAGTTTGAGAACAATACTTAAGGAGTCCTAGAAGAATTCTTTTGTTTCAAATCTTGAAAGAATATGGAAGTTCAAAACAGATGGTTCTCTTTCAATATGTGAATGTGTTTAATTCTGCTTAATATGTGGGGTCTGCATATATTACAAAGAAAAAGACATTTAGAAATGGCTTCTGAAATAATAGTACTGAACTAACCTGTTCAGGTCTTCCTCTGAGTTGATACAGGTTGAGTATCCCTTACCTGAAATGCTTGGGACCAGAAGTGTTTCAGATTTTAGATTTTTTAGGATTTTGGAATATTTCGACCTAAGCCTAAACATGAAGTTTATTTATGTTTTATATATACTTTAAACACACAGCCTGAAGGTAATTTATGCAACATTTTAATATTTTGCATAATTTAATGTATGAAACAAAGTTTTCACTGTATTTGCTATGAACAGTCTTATGAGATCAAGTGTGAAATTCTCCACTTGTGGCATCATGGTGGCGCTCAAAAAGTTTTGAATTATAGAGCATTTCAGATTTTAGGTCTTCAGATTAGGGATGTTCAACCTGTGTTTAGACAAGGAGTTGTAAAATGTAGCTGAACCTTGATATTAAGCAATAAATACCCTGTACCCAATGCATTATCACAAAAGGGGGAGGGGCTAATGATATATCTTATAATATGCTTAACTGGGATTTATGTTATCTAAGGACTTTGAACTAGGTAACCCTCTCCCTGCAAATATGGAGATATATGAGTCATTATCATCAAGCACATGACTTTAGTCATTCTAGTATGAAACACTCACACATTTAGATATAATTCATCCAATCTAAGTGAGCAGGAGTGAAAACCTTTACTACATGGGCTTTTGCCCTGTAGATTTGCAATTGGCGTGTTAAGATAAAGACTATCTCTCTTTGTCACAATATATAATATGATATTTCATTTCTGATCTTCATGGGCCCATGTTCAGATACTCACTTTGAGAGGAATATGTTTATATCAGTTCAAATTTGTCTTCTATGAATTAATTTTACTTTAAAAATAAAGAAAGTGCCAAGTGATCTCTCACAGACACTGAATTTTTTGGTTGATTTCACCTTGGCCAGCACAAATAACTACCACTGAGTATTCTCGTCTGATTCCTTGACTTCCATAACCCTGTGGGAAGAGACAGAATGAGCCCTCAGAAGTGCTTAAGTAGTTAGAACTTTGCAAGGTCTTTTCAAAATTCTCTCCAGTCTCTCCCTTCTCTGCCTCACCTACTTCTTGAGATTGCAAGGTTTTGCTTCCAGCTTTCTGCATTTTTGAAAGAAAGCAGTAAGTAAGCCCAGTGTTACAGGAAATCTATGACATTGAAATCTCTGTCTCTGCATGTGGTTTTGATGTTTCCTTTTTGAACTTCAACTTGACATTGCTTCATAAGTTACATTTGCCCTTCCATTTTTTTCCTCACTCTCTTTCAAAAGTTTGGCTTCGTTGTTAATATTCCTCACAGATTTCTATGGCTTTTCTTGTTTGCTTTGTTTTCATGGACTCTGTAGGAGGTAAATATTCAGCAGGTTGAATGTGAAATCAGGCATACAACTGCATTAGCCCTATCAGGGTTACACATCAAATTCTCCAAGCAGAGAACCTTTTTAGCTTCCTTTGCATTAGCAGCAGGAAGATAAAGAACAGCAAAGACTTGCAGCTCTTTTAAGGGTGTAGGTTATAACCCTTCATTCAAGTTAATGCTTGTTGATGTTCTAAAATTTTTTGAAGTTGACCCTTTTGGCCTCCCCTCATATGCAGCAGTGCATCATCCCATCAGTAGAGGATGTGTAAAACTGTGTTTTGCTCATTGAAAAACATAAAATTGCTTATAGGTGAGAAAAGAAAAAAGCAGCATTTATTCAAGGGCCTAGAGACCTCTGCTGGTTAAGTGACTTGTTGAGTGTTTTTCTAGTTTTGTTTATTATTGAAAAGGTAAAATATACAGCTTGGCCTCAACAGTAGCAGTTTCCTTTTGAAATAAATTATGTATGATTTGAAACATTGAATGAAGATACTGAGGTCAAGTCAGCTGGAAGTGATGTTAAGAATAATGAGTAGCATCTCCTAATTAAATACTGATATCAACTTTGATTATTAGATTTACTTTGGTAGGCATTACCCTGTAGAAATGCCCTGTGAACACATAAAATTCCAGAATGACAGCTATGGTTATCTTCTGCATGACTTTGGGCTGAAGGTCTTCTACCTGAATATGTTTATCATTATTCTTAATGGTATGAATTGTGCTTGAGGCAAGATTTGATATTTATGAAGACTTTTTATGGAACATGGAGTTAACATTGTCTTTATATCTATTGAAAATAAGGAAAGAAAATGTGACTTCAATGAAGTACAGAAAATATGGTATCATTTGGGTGGGGAGGGGTAATGGATTGCATTGGGCAATGTGGGAAGTAAGTGCTGCTTTGAATTCCTGTGTTAGACTGTGGGCAGGACTTGATTTCCTGAGGAGATTTAATAAAAATCAGGATTCATTTAAAGATTTCGGGTTCTAGAGTCATATTCCTGTAGATAACATTCTATCAATATGAAATCAATAATAAACAATGATGATAGTCTTAGAGGAGAAAGGAATCAAAATGTATCTATACAATATGTGGGAGTGAAGTATATTAGTGAGGGACAAGCTAAGCTATTCTCACAAAGGAGACCCCAAAATAAAGTAGCTTAGATAAGAAGCTTATTTCTCTCTCACATTATTTTCCTCAAAAATGGCAGGTGAGTGTGGAGCTGCTTTGCTCCACAGGGACATTCATGGTCCAAGGCTGACAGATCAGCATTTTCATCCTATGTAGCTTCCATGTCTGCACCCAAGGCTATTTCAATTGTCAGTCTTTTCCAATCAGTGTGAAGGGGCAAAAAGAGGTTAGGGAAAGTATCTTTAAGTGAGTAACCCAGAAGTTGCTCTCACCACTTTCACACACATACAGTTGGCATGAACTTGGTTACATGGTTACCTCTAGCTGCAAAGCCATCTGCAAATGTAGTGCATGCCTGGGAATACACCAGCCTGGTTAAAAGCGGGAACGGGTAATGGGAAGATAATCTCTACTGACAGGAAAAAAGGAATAATAGATCCTTACAGGAGAGGGACAGTTAATTTTACCATATGCTATTGGTAGTTTTATCCATTTTGCATTTAGGGATTAAAAGACTACAATATGAACCACAAAAACGGTATTCAGAGTAGGGTATAGGCATCTCCCTGAATGTCTACCCAGTCTTGTTATTTGCATAATATCTGAAAAAGGAATTTTATTATAAGTGTAGTTTGCCCTTTGATTGCATATGATAAAAATAGATTGAGTATATACTGAATATACACCTTCTCTTTGCTTTTTGAACGGCTATAGCTCAACCTAATTGGATTCAAAAAATAAATGATATTCACGTGGCCATGGAAGAAAATGTCTTTTGGGAATGTAAAGCAAATGGAAGGCCTAAGCCTACATACAGGTGGCTAAAAAATGGTGAACCTCTGCTAACTCGGGTAAGCAAATTAATGGTAATTGTGTCTTAGTCTTGACTATAATGTTTAATATAGCCTCATTGCCGTGGAAACGTGAGAACGGTGAATCGTTTCTAAAATAATAAACAATGAAACACCATTATAGTGGAAAAAGTGAGAGTGAATGCAATTGATAAATAGAAAGTGCACTTAAATCCAATTCTCCAGCTTTCAATTAAGCTCTTGTACTAGATCTTTGGTCTTCAAAGATTAGCATCTGTGAGATTATAATGGGAAAGTTATGCAAAAGGTCTGGAACATGCAATTGTGCTAAGATACAAAGGAAGATGCATTCCAGGATCCACTACAAGAGAAGGGGCATTGTCACAATGCAGGATGTCCATCTAAATAGAGAAACACTCTGACAAAGAAATCTGAATGAAGCAGGGGCAGAGTGGGGGACCCTGAGAATGAGGAATAATTGTGTCTGATTAATTTTCCTTATGTATTTTCCTACTGAACCTCAAATGTTAATTGAAATTTGACATTTTCCTCAGGCTCCAAATTGAGAGGCAGTCTTCTAGTAGGCCACCCAGGAAAGAGTGCCTGCTCAGAGCAATGGCCCCCACGTGAATTTACATGACAGGAAGAGAAAGGGGGCTGTTTTGTCTAACCCACCCCCTGCCTCATGCATCTTCTCCATTTGCTGGAAGGGCTCCAGCTTGTCCATGATTCTGTCTATTATAAAAGCCAGACTCAAACAAATTGCAAGAGTATATGTACCTAGGTACTGGTATTTTCCTCCCTTTGTGTAATTGTTACCAAAATGCCAGGGGGTTAGTCTAGGTCCTGTTGCTTGCTGTGCAGAGAGCCAATCACTGAGACAGTGAGTATTGCCAGGAAATAAGGCTTTGTCAGGTGCTTTAGTCAAAGAGAATGGGAGAGCAGTCTCAAATCCATCTCTCCAACTAACTAAAATTGGGAGTTTATGTTGCTGGGGAAGGGATGCAGCTGTGTACAGGAAGGAATTAGGTGGGGGTACAGAGGCAATCACGACAGATGAAGGGTCTTGTGTCTCACTCTCTGGTTGCCATGATCTAGTGAGTTTGAGTCCCTTGCTTGAGGATCAACCTCCTGAGGAGTTAACTCAGATGAGACCAATATAAGTTTCAAGTTTTAAAACTAGGCAGGTCAATTTCTGTATTTATTCAAAAATGGGTAATTATCATTTCTGTGGGACAATTGGGCTGGTTTCTTAATGTGAGGGAATATGGATGTCTAGATTTAATCACAGTCTAATAAAGTGTCCAGTCAGCTAACTCACAACCCTGCAGCAAACAGAAAACTAGTATCTCTTTACATATGTGTGTGTGTGTGTCTGTGTGTGTGTGTGTATGTATGTGTGTGTATATATATATACACACACATACATACATACATATACAGACTGGCATAGCTCCTGGAGAGGAAGAGATCCTTTTTGATACTTATGAAAATTGATACATAAGTTGTATATCCTCAGAGTGACAAACAAGGAAGATCTCCTGTGCCACATACTAACTTTGCCTCCTTGAGATTGGCCACCAGATGGACTTCAGCTTAAATCACACCACTGACAACCATAAACTAAGGGAATATTAAACTATTAATACCTGCATTTTTCAGTAAACCTCAACCTATATTAAATAGTTGCCTCTGTTTCATCCAAAATTGTAATCCTATTAACCTTCAAAGTATCACCTGCTCAAAATGTGAGTGTTTTAAACACTATAAACAGTAAATTTGGTTGTATTTCCAAAACCCCCTAACTCTGGTTAGTACAAGTCTTTAAAGTTAAAAAGCATTTTAAATTTCAAGTTCTGTTTAGAGAGGATATTAATCTGAATGGCTCCACTATTAAATCATTGAGAACTCAAGAGAATCCTACAATTTAAATTCCATTTACCAACTGATGTACTGGTTGTTCCATTTAGCATCTGACCTGCCAGAAAATTTAGTTGACAGATAAATAGATCATGTTATGTAAATTGCTTATATGATGGCTATTTTCTTCCCATTAAGCTTCCTTGATATTACACATGGTAAAATTGCCTTAAAGTCTCAGTTGTAGAAGGTCATTGTTTTTATGTTCCTCTTTTCCTTCACAGGATAGAATTCAAATTGAGCAAGGAACACTCAACATAACAATAGTGAACCTCTCAGATGCTGGCATGTATCAGTGTTTGGCAGAGAATAAACATGGAGTTATCTTTTCCAACGCAGAGCTTAGTGTTATAGGTGAGTCTTTATACTGGCAAGAAAAAATAAAGTAAAAACTCTTTAAATCACTAAACTAACTTGTTCTTTGCCAAGCATGAATGTTCAATCCAAGAAAAGGAGTAAAGAAATCTTTAGGCCAAAGATACTACTGGAGAAACAAGTAATATGCAAGTCTATAAGCAATAACAAGAGGACGCTTTCTAAATCAGCCTCCTCTGATGCTTACAGAGGGACCATGCTTCCCTTGGCACTCATTTTTATTTCTTTTTCTTTTTTCTTTTTTCTTTTTATTATTATACTTTAAGTTCTAGGGTACATGTGCACAACGTGCAGGATTGTTACATATGTATACATGTGCCATGTTGGTGTGCTGCACCCATTAACTCATCATTTACATTAGGTATATCTCCTAATGCTATCCCTCCCCCCTCCCCCTTCCCCACAATAGGCCCCGGTGTGTGATGTTCCCCTGCCTGTGTCCAAGTGATCTCATTTTCAATTCTCACCTATGAGTGAGAACATGCGGTGTTTGGTTTTCTGTTCTTGTGATAGTTTGCTGAGAATGGTGGTTTCCAGCTGCATCCATGTCCCTACAAAGGACACAAACTCATGCTTTTTTATGGCTGCATAGTATTCCATGGTGTATATGTGCCACATTTTCTTAATCCAATCTGTCACTGATGGACATTTGGGTTGATTCCAAGTCTTTGCTATTGTGAATAGTGCCACAATAAACATATGTGTGCACATGTCTTTATAGCAGCATGATTTATAATCCTTTTGGTATATCCCCAGTAATAGGATGGCTGGGTCAAATGGTATTTCTAGTTCTAGATCCTTGAGGAATCGCCACACTGTTTTCCACAATGGTTGAACTAGTTTATGGTCCCACCAACAGTGTAAAAGTGTTCCTATTTCTCCACATCCTCTCCAGCACCTATTGTTTCCTGTTTTTTTAATGATTGCCATTCTAACTGGTGTGAGATGGTATCTCATTGTGGTTTTGATTTGCATTTCTCTGATGGTGAGTGATGATGAGCGTTTTTTCATGTGTCTGTTTGCTATATGAATGTCTTCTTTTGAGAAATGTCTGTTCATATCCTTTGCCCACTTTTCGATGGGGTTGTTTGTTTTTTTCTTGTAAATTTGTTTGAGTTCTTTGTAGGCTCTCTATAATAGCCCTTTGTCAGATGAGTAGATTGCAAACATTTTCTCCCATTCTGTAGGTTGCCTGTTCACTCTGATGGTAGCTTCTTTTGCTGTGCAGAAGCTCTTTAGTTTAATTAGATCCCATTTGTCAATTTTGGCTTTTGTTGCCATTGCTTTTGGTGTTTTAGACATGAAGTCCTTGCTCATGCCTATGTCCTGAATGGTATTACCTAGGTTTTCTTCTAGGGTTTTTATGGGTTTAGGTCTAACATTTAAGTCTCTAATCCATTTTGAATTAATTTTCGTATAAGGAGTAAGGAAAGGATCCAGTTTCAGCTTTGTACTTATGGCTAGCCAATTTCCCCAGCACCATTTATTAAATAGGGAATCCTTTCCGCATTTCTTGTTTTTGTCAGCTTTGTCAAAGATCAGATGGCTGTAGATGTGTGGTATTTTTTCTGAGGGCTCTGTTCTGTTCCATTGGTCTATATCTCTGTTTTGGTACCAGTACCATGCTGTTTTGGTTACTGTAGCCTTGTAGTATAGTTTGAAGTCAGGTAGCGTGATGCCTCCAGATTTGTTCTTTTGGCTTAGGATTGTCTTGGCAATGCGGGGTCTTTTTTGGTTCCATATGAACTTTAAAGCAGTTTTTTCCAATTCTGTGAAGCAAGTCATTGGTAGCTTAATGGGGATAACATTGAATCTATAAATTACCTTGGGCAGTATGGCCATTTTCACAATATTGATTCTTCCTTTCCATGAGCATGGTATGTGCTTCCATTTGTTTGTGTCCTCTTTTATTTCACTGAGCAATGGTTTGTAGTTCTCCTTGAAGAGGTCCTTTACATCCCTTGTAAGTTGGATTCCTAGGTATTTGATTCTCTTTGAAGCTATCTTGAATGGGAGTTCATTCATGATTTGGCTCTCTGTTTGTCTGTTACTGGTGTATAAGAATGCTTGTGATTTTTGCACATTGATTTTGTATCCTGAGACTTTGCTGAAGTTGCTTATCAGCTTAAGGAGATTTTGGGCTGAGATGATGGAGTTTTCTAAATATACAATCATGTCATCTGCAAACAGGGACAATTTGACTTCTTTTCCTAACTGAATACCGTTTATTTCTTTCTCTTGCCTGATTGCCCTAGCCAGAACTTCCAACATTATGTTGCATAGGAGTGGTGAGAGAGGGCATCTCTGTCTTGTGCCAGTTTTCAAAGGGAATTTTTCCAGTTTTTGCCCATTCAGTATGATATTGGCTGTGGGTTTGTCATAAATAGCTCTTATTATTTTCAGATACGTTCCATCAATACCAAATTTATTGAGAGTTTTTAGCATGAAGGGCTGTTGAATTTTGTCAAAGGCCTTTTCTGCATCTATTGAGATAATCATGTGGTTTTTGTCTTTGGTTCTGTTTATATGCTGGATTATGTTTATTGCTTGCATATGTTATGTTGCATCCCAGGGATGAAGCCCACTTGATCATGGTGGATAAGCTTTTTGATGTGCTGCTGGATTCGGTTTGCCAGTATTTTATTGAGGATTTTTGCATCAATGTTCACCAGGGATATTGGTCTAAAATTCTCTGTTTTTGTTGTATCTCTGTCAGGCTTTGGTATCAGGATGATGTTGGCCTCATAAAATGAGTTAGGGAGGATTCCCTCTTTTTCTGTTGATTGGAATAGTTTCAGAAGGAATGGTACCAACTCCTCCTTGTACCTCCGGTAGAATTCGGCTGTGAATCCATCTGGTCCTGGACTTTTTTTGGTTGGTAGGCTATTAATTATTGCCTCAATTTCAGAGCCTGCTATTGGTCTATTCAGGGATTCAGCTTCTTCCTGGTTTAGTCTTGGCAGAGTGTAAGTGTCCAGGAAATTATCCATTTCTTCTAGGTTTTCTAGTTTATATGCGTAGAGGTGTTTATAGTATTCTCTGATGGTAGTTTGTATTTCTTTGGGGTCGGTGGTGATATCCCCTTTATCATTTTTTTATTGCGTCTCTTTGATTCTTCTCTCTTTTCTTCTTTATTAGTCTTGCTAGCGGTCTATCAATTTTGTTGATCTTTTCAAAAAACCAGCTCCTGGATTCGTTGATATTTTTGGAGGGTTTTTTGTGTCTCTATCTCCTTCAGTTCTGCTCTGATCTTAGTTATTTCTTGCCTTCTGCTAGCTTTTGAATGTGTTTGCTCTTGCTTCTCTAGTTCTTTTAATTGTGGTGTTAGGGTGTCAATTTTAGATCTTTCCTGCTTTCTCTTGTGGGCATTTAGTGCTATAAATTTCCTCTACACACTGCTTTAAATGTGTCCCAGAGATTCTGGTATGTTGTATCTTTGTTCTCATTGGTTTCAAAGAACATCTTTATTTCTGCCTTCATTTTGTTATGTACCCAGTAGTCATTCAGGAGCAGGTTGTTCAGTTTCTATGTAGTTCAGCGGTTTTGATTGAGTTTCTTAGTCCTGAGTTCTAGTTTAATTGCACTGTGGTCTGAGAGACAGTTTGTTATAATTTCTGTTCTTGTACATTTGCTGAGGAGTGCTTTACTTCCAACTATGTGGTCAATTTTGGAATAAGTGCGACATGGTGCTGAGAAGAATGTACATTCTGTTGATTTTGGGTGGAGAGTTCTGTAGATGTCTATTAGGTCCGCTTGATGCAGAGTTGAGTTCAATTCCTGAATATCCTTGTTAACTTTCTGTCTCGTTGATCTTTCTAATGTTGACAGTGGGGTGTTAAAGTCTCCCATTATTATTGTATGGGAGTCTAAGTCTCTTTGTAAGTCTCTAAGGACTTGCTTTATGAATCTGGGTGCTCCTGTATTGGGTGCATATATACTTAGGATAGTTAGCTCTTCCTGATGAATTGATCCCTTTACCATTATTTAATGGCCTTCTTTGTCTCTTTTGATCTTTGATGGTTTAAATTCTGTTTCATCAGAGACTAGGATTGCAACCCCTGCTCTTTTTTTGGTTTCCATCTGCTTGGTAGATCTTCCTCCATCCCTTTATTTTGAGCCTATGTGTGTCTCTGCATGTGAGATGGGTCTCCTGAATACAGCAGACTAATGGGTCTTGACTCTTTATCCAATTTGCCAGTCTGTGTCTTTTAATTGGACCATTTAGTCCATTTACCTTTAAGGTTAATATTGTTATGTGTGAACTTGATCCTGTCATTGTGATATTAGCTGGTTATTTTGCTCGTTAGTTGATGCAGTTTCTTCCTAGCATCGATGGTCTTTACATTTTGGCATGTTTTTGCAATGGCTGGTACCAGTTGTTCCTTTCCATGTTTAGTGCTTCCTTCAGGATCTCTTGTAGGGCAGGCCTGGTGGTGACAAAATCTCTAAGCATTTACTTGTCTGTAAAGGATTTTATTTCTCCTTCACTTATGAAACTTAGTTTGGCTGGATATGAAATTCTGGGTTGAAAATTCTTTTCTTTAAGAATGTTGAATATTGGCCCCCACTCTCTTGTGACTTGGAGAGTTTCTACCAAGAGATCTGCTGTTAGTCTGATGGGCTTCCCTTTGTGGGTAACCCGACCTTTCTCTCTGGCTGCCCTTAACATTTTTTCCTTCATTTCAACTTTGGTGAATCTGACAATTATGTGTCTTGGAGTTGCTCTTCTCGAGGAGTATCTTTGTGGCATTCTCTGTATTTCCTGAATTTGAATGTTGGCCTGCCTTACCAGGTTGGGGAAGTTCTCCTGGATGATATCCTGCAGAACGTTTTCCACCTTGATTCCATTTTCCCCATCAGTTTCAGGCACCACAATCAGACGTAGATTTGGTCTTTTCACATAATCCCATATTTCTTGGAGGCTTTGTTCATTTCTTTTTACTCTTTTTTCTCCACACTTCTTGCTTCATTTCATTCAT